AATAATTTCTCAGATAACTACAAAGATGGTGACCATAATAAAAGACATGGTTAGTAACTCTAGAACAGATACAGATAAAAAAAATTGAGGAACTTAGGAAACTGATGGAAACTATGAACACCCAATATAGGAAGCAAACAGTATCCATGAAACAGTTTCAAAAAGATATGCAAGAGATTAAAAATTCCATTGAAAGTATGGACTGCAGAATGAGCCAGTGTGATGACATAATATCAGATATAGAAGACAGGATTGCAGTTAGTGATCATGAAAAGAAAGATTCCTTTAAAATAGCAAAGGACTATGAAAAATCAATCCAGCAGCTGCAGGATGACACAAAGAAGAATAACATAAGATTGATCAGAGTCTATGAAAAAGCAAGAGATAGCACAAACAGCATAAAAGAAAACCTGTTCATATAAATTATGGCAGAAAACTTCCCAAACAGGGGAAAAAAATTTGATATACAGTAAGTGAGGCATATGGAAGTCCAATTAGACAAGATAAAAAAAAAAAAACCTATACCAAGGAATGTAGCAGTGAAAATTCCAGAAATTCAATACCAGAACAGAATATTAAAACCTATTAGAGAAGAGAAACAAATCACCTATAAAGGAAAATCCATTAGAATCATGGCAGACTTCTCAAAACAAACTCTCAAGTCCAGGAAAGCTTGGAATTGAAGCACTAAAAGAAAACAACCTCCAACCCAGATTGATGTACCCTGAAAAATTATCTTTGGGCCAGGTATGGTAATACATTCCTGTAATCCTAGCACTCTGGAGGCTGAGGCAGGAGGATTGCTATGAGTTTGAAGCCAGCCTGGGCTACACAGTGAGTTCAACACCAAGCTAAACTGTATAGCAAGGGGCTGGGGATTTAGCTCAGCGGCAAAAGCGCCTGCCTGGCAAGCGCAAGGTCGTGAGTTCGGTTCCCGGTACCGGAGAAAAACCAAAAAGAAAGAAAAACTGCAGTGAAAGACACAGTGCTGTTAATACTCTTCAGTATAACCTGTCCTCACTTAGACAGCCATATCCCTTGATCCTGCCAATTTCTTGAGAGTTCTG